TTATTATTATTATTATGTCAGTTGCAACAAAAATAAAAGAATCCCCATAAACAAAAAACTAGGGCACTAAAATATTTTTCCTGCTTTACTTTCCTACCTTATGGGTTTTCTTCATCCTGAAAAAGCTCCAGTAAATGCATGACAGAGAACAGAAAGCTATTCAGCAGCAGAGACAATTGACTTTGGCTGCTTTTTGTCTCAGAGAGCCCCAGTGATGCGGCTGCAGTGACTAGATAGTGTTGTGCCGAATGGCTCGTGCACAGCTGGGTTCCTGACTGGCTCAATGGCAGGGCCACTAGTGCTTCCTCCTCTAAAGCACAAGGGGGACCGGGGAAGATGTGGCTATTATCTAAGTAGCTCCCAAATACCCTCCATTTCCCCATCAGCAAAGATGAAAAGAAGGAGAGCCAGACAAAGAGGACAGGGGAAAAAAACAAAAGTATACATATCAGTTTCATTTGGAAGGGTAAATGCTTTTTGTGCTGTGGAGATAGATGCCTCTGCAGCGGTGCTGGCTGCTATCTGCACGTACGGCTCCTCAAATCAGTTTTTTCTTTTTTCTTCTTTTTTTTTTTTGTACGATGATCCAGTGCTGTCCCTCCATCTGCACACGCGAGCACCCATCTTGCACACGTCTCCCTCTCTCCCCCTCCATCGCTCCAAGCGTTTTCTGCGGGCTCCTGCGCGATCAACAGCTCATAATTGTTTTTTGCACATACGTTATGCAAATGAGTCTTTATGGCAACTGGCATAACAATTAGCATCCTCCAACAATATTTTAGTAGGTTAATTGCGAAATTTCTGAATTGTACATCTGAGTTGTTAATTAGGCATGACAGAGGTGGTGAAATAGTTATCTTCAGGCGGTGGCAGCCAGCAGAGGCTGCTTTGGATGCAAAAAGGAAGGATTGATTGAAATTAGTTTACAGCAGTAGGAGCGTGCCTGTTGGAGACTCTTTGCATGGCCCCTCTTGCTTTTTTGTGGCATCTGTTTGTTGCTGAATGTAAAAAAGAAATACAAAATACAAACCTGGAGCAGACATGGTGGATCAAATTATGACCCCCCTGTAGAAACAGATTGCACCGTCGTGTCGATTTGAAGAAATACTCCAAGTGAAAAGAGTTAATGGACGTGAGTGATACAAAGTGTCTTGTCGGCGTGAGTTAGCAAGAATTATTTTTTTTCACGCACGAGTGGAGCCGAGCTGTTGTCAAAACAGGAGAAGATCTTTGACCTGTCAGACACACTTAAGCCAAATTTTCCTTTTTTTCTGTTACAATATGAAGTTTTTACTGTTTAAAGAGAAAGTTAATGGCAGCAAGAGAATATTCTAAAAAGAAAAATAGCAAATTTGTGCCTCACAGGTTTTTTTTTGCACAAGAATAAAAAAAGTCAACACATGTTAATGAAATACAAAAAATAAGACGTACCTCTAATACGCTTATAAATGTGGATATCATGTATTTTATTTTAACAGCACTTTTGAACTGTAGTGATTG